GTCTCTGCTGGGGGCTGGGACAGCTTCTGAATGACCTTTGTGGGCCGTGTAGCCCACCCTGTCCCAGAGGCCCAAGCACAAGGCAGGCGACTGGGGCAGAAGTACCTTCCCTGGGCAGTGCTGGAGCTCAGGTTCTGCCCAACACAGCCTGTTACTGCGCGCTCCGGCCTGTGTGCTATCAGCCCTCACAGACCCCCCAGCTCCTCCTGGGGCTGTTGGGGGGCAGCCCGGGAGCCAGCCTGGAAAAGCCCTGCTTTGCACATTGCCACTGGGGGCAGGTTCGTAACATGCGAAAAATCCCCCTTTCCCTTCACCTCCAAGGAGTTTAATCTCTTCTAATCAATTTAGCAGACTCGCTTGGTTGTAAACGGTAATGATTTGCATTTTTGAGCCTTTTTATCCCTCCTTAAGAAAAAAGATGCCTCCTCTGTCTGCCTTCTGGAAGGCCTGTGCAGGGCTGTGAATTGCTCGTTAGCACTCACCCTGGCACCTAGCCAGCTCGAGGCCTCCGCCCGTCACCTGCACTGATCCGAGCACAGGGAAGGGACAGGGCACACAGCGTGCCCACAGCTGCCCCTGGCTGTGTTCCTGGCCCTGAGAGCAGGTCCAGTTCTTGGGGACACGGGCCACTGTGCACCCCAGAGCCCTTCCTTCCAGCACACGCCCTAGCTCTCTCCTGGTTGCCTCCCCAGCTCCGTTGCTCCCTGTCTGCCGCATGCAATTTTCCTTGTTGTATTTTTCATAAGCATGAGGCTCAGAAGCCCCATCCTCCTCCCTGGTGTGTTCGGCAAGAAGCAGATTTCCGGAGTGGAGTGGGTTTGCTTTGGGACTTGGGCTGCCATTGGTGGGGTAGGGAAAGGGCCTGTCCTTTCCTTCTGCCTCTGCTCCAAGCAGGTGAAGGAGGGAGGCTCAGGGGCGTCCTGGGCACGCTGCCCATCACTTCTCCAGGCCTATCAGCCACCCCAGGCCCTGCAAGGAGCCTCACCTGACCTGTCCGTCTCATTCTGGGCCTCTGTCACCTGCCATGGATCAACTAGAAACTTCCAGAATCGGTGCAAGGGAGGAGTCCTTACTTGGCTTTTAGAGCCCCCAGCTTTTTGGGGTGAAGCCCGACTCCTGCTTCAGCCCACCCTCCACTTTGCAGAAGGGGAAACTGAGGCTGTGGATTTACAAAACATGCTTTCCCTCTACCTCTCTGGAGACCCTTCCTGGCCCCTCCTCACTTTCTGCTCCAGGTGGGCCTCCCTGGACCCCTAGAGGAAGGAGGAAGAGGGTGGGAAAAGAGGCACAAGGCAGGCAGAGGCCTTGGGCTCTGGGTGGGGAAGCCCAGCGCCCCCTGCCACCACCCAGCCACTGCCGTCTTCCTAGCTGCTGTCCCCTCTCCTGCCAGAGTCACTCAGAGCTGGAAGGGACCATTGCCCCACCTCCTGCCCCCAAACCTGGCCTTCCGGCCCTGGGTGGAGAGGCCCTCTAGTCAGCTACGCGGCCGCCATGTTCCTGTGGAGGCGGCCCAGGAAGCCAGAGCCAATTTAGAGAAGATGGAGGCTTCCTCGGGGAGGCCGCAGGAAAGGGAAGGAGAAAAGGGAAGAAAAGCTTTTGATGCACATCATGTCTGCGGAATTGAGTATGACTAATTAATAGATTTTATTCTTAGTAATCTCTTAAGCATTCCATACGTTGGGCCCCACGCCTGAGCTGAGCTTACAAGAGGCCTCATTCGCAAAATGCAAATGACTCGCCTGGCCTGGCATCCTCCTCTCCTGCCTCCCCTTTTCTCCCCGCACAACCCCCCACTTTTTTTTTTTTTTTAGGGGAAATTTAAAGGAAAATTGCCATGTAATAGAAAAGAGATTCTAATCACTACATCTAATTACCACGAAGGGTAAACCACTTAACCAAAGAAGTGTCATGGGCTCTTTTTTTTTTTTTTTTTTAAGTTAAAATCTGCTATAAATGCCATAGAAAACACTCATCGACACTGAGGCCAACGAGGTTGTTCTGGCTAGTTAGAGGCTGCAAGGGTCAGGTCGGGCGCCCGCGGAAGGGGCATTCTAGACAGCAGCAGTAGGTAGCCTGGGCCCTGGGCTTGTCTCCATGAGCCCTGTGTCCTCACATGCTGCCCGGGGCTGGGGAGGCTGGGCAGCCCTGTGGCATCTCTCTCCTTATGAGGACACTCAGCACGTGGACCAGAGGGGACAGGGGTTTAGTGTGGACCTGACTTCAGGCCCGCTCCTTGGCTTGGGGGGCTGTGAGGCAGCAGACATTTGGGCGCTCGCTCTCAGAAAGGACTGCGCGAGGATGTCTGATGCTGAGCGGAGGAAAATTGAGAGCAGGCCCCAGGGTCTGGATGGGGAGTCTCCGTCATCCTCAGCACCTACAGGGCAGGAGGACGCCTGCAGCGAGCCCTCGGTGAGCCCCTGTCTGAGCCCCCGGGGAGCGGGGGACCCCAGTGACCTCACCACAGGTGGGCCTGGCCTGCTCTGTATTGTAGGGAAGGAAGCTGACCACCCAGGCCTGCAGGCCTTTCTGACCTCACTGGCTGACTCCAGGCTCACCTACTGTCCCCCAAATGCCTTCCTAACCTCTAAGGGGATAATTTGACCTCCTCCTGGTGTGTTCAAGGGGAAAGGGGAGTAAGATGGGGGACCCAAGCATGTTGGCAGCAGGGACTCGGCCGTGAGGAGGCCAGGGCCTGGGACATCAGTAGAAGGCATGGGTGGTGCCGTGAGGGAGGGGACCTCACTTCCGAAACAGCAGGGACCTCGGGCTTCTGTCCCTTTCCCCTCTTCCTGAGCCAATGCCCCACGTCCTCGAATACCCTCTCTACTCCTCCCGGGGCTGCCAGAACTGGCCTGTGTCAGGGGCGCTTGAAGCCAAAGGGAGGGCGACCTTCACACAGACATGAAATTAAGGCTTGGAAAAATCTCTCTCCTGATCTCATTGTATGAGAAAATGATTCAAGTGGACCAAAGGGGAGGGGAAAGACTTAGTTTCGAGCGGAGTGTGTCCAGGCCCTGCGCCTCTCCCTGGGGCTGGGGAGCCGGCCTCCCTGTTGCGAGGCGAGACCCTCCCTCCGGTCTGGTGGGGGAGGGCCACGCCTCCCCTCCACCCTGCTCACACAGCTTTGGTGGCCATTCCTTTCAACCCCTGCCTCTTCCCTGAAGGGACCAGTCACATCTTTCCATGACCAGTGAGTGGCCGGCCCTCGGGCCTATCTGGACAGCATCCTCTTTCTGCCAGAGCCAGACACCTCCTCAACCTCCCCTGCCCTCGGGCCAGTGTCTCCCATCTGACGTGGCTCTTCCCTGGCACAGCACCGGGGCACACGTTGACAGGTGGTGGCCCGAGCTCCCCAAGGGCCAGGGCGCAGGAGACCACAGAACCCTGGGCACCATGCCTCCCTTCTCTCCAACTTTGCTGTCATCCTTTCATTATCATTTCAATCTCATGGCTCACCAAACCACACCGCCCGCTGATAAATGATGGCAACCCAGTTCTGGGGTGGGGGGCTAGGAAATAAAACCTGAATTCTTCCGAGGGCCCTGGTCAGTACCCTTTTGGAGCTGGTATTTCTGGAGGTCTCGTCTCTCCTCTCCAGAGCAGAGTGCCGGGGGTGGGTACAGCCGAGGCTCTGTGTTCGGGGGGCTGCTGTCTCCCGGGGCTCTTCGGAGAACGTTCATGTCTTTTTCTGGGCTTTGTTTGAGCAGCCATGGAAACCATTAGGTCTAATCAGCTGGATTAAAAAAAAAAAAAAGTCCCTGCGCCAATTACCTGTCCCAGGAGGAAGCATATGGCACAGACGAAAGAGAAAGTTGCTGTCAAGGTGACTGCGTCTGTGTGTTGGGGGTGGGTGGACAGTGGGGAGAGAGACGAGGACACCGGCCGTCAAAGAACGCTTTTGTCTGTACCAGAAAAGAGCGCGGCCCAGGTCTCGCCGACCTGAGATAGGGTTGAACCACGGGCACCCCTTGCCCGGGGTCTCCCTGGCCACCCAACCAGGACAGATACACCTCCGCCTTTAGGAACAGCATTGTCCCCGCACCCTACTCCCACCCCCAACACGCTTTGTCTACTTACTCAATGATTTCTAGGAGAGAGCAACATTTTCGTGACTCTATTGTCTCAGGAAACTGTACGAACTGACCCCAAGAAGTAGTAAGGACCGTAAATGGGGCTCTATCTACCCATCTGTACTGAGAGACACGACAGAGAGATCGACAGGTAGATAGACGCACGTCCGTGTGGCTGGGAAGCCACAGCTCCCCCTGGGGCCATCCACGGAGCGTGGTGCATGGAACTGAAGAGGGCTTCGGTATAGGAAAAAGAAAGTTTGCTTTTTAATTGACTACACCATTGTTCAGAGAATGCAGTGAAAGACGTGATCTTTCTGCAAATCTGTAAGGGAAATGGTACGGAAAGAACCAGGGAAGAGGTTTCAGGACAATATCTTCGTAGCAAAAAGATCTTTTCTTCCCCCTCTCCTTTGTGAGGAGCCTGAAAACCTTCCGTCATGTTGTTGTCACCCGTGAGCAGCCGGCAGCAAGAGCTGTGTGGGGGCTTTGCGTGTTGGCTGTTCCCTCTGACGGTTCTTTTGTGACGGCCATGAACAGAGCGTGAGGCGTACACAGACGCTGTACAGGTAGTAGCTTTCCAGTTCAGGAAAAAACAAAAAAACGAAAAACCCTGACCCAACCCTTCCTGCAATATTATTTTTAGTCCTTCCCTCCCCAACTGGCATAATTTGGTATAAATTATGTCTTCAGCAACATCAAATCCCCCTCCTGCCTTCTATTCTTTAAAAAAAAAAAAAAGAGAGAGAGATCTTGTTTCTGCTGTCGTGTTCTACAAAAGTGTCCACCCTTCCCAAACTTTGCTTTCTGCTAGGAAAGTCATCATGGAATTCCTTCTCCTTGCTCTATGGGATGGCAGCGGGCCGGGCGGAGCCGCGCCGTGGCCAGGCCAGGAGGCGGCGGGAGCTGGGGTGGAGGTGGCCAGCGCGGCCGGCATCATGTGTACGTGTACTCTACGTCGGGGATGCCGCCGTCCCGGTAGCCCCGGGTGGTGCCATAACCGATGGTGTGTGTGGCTTTGCAGAGGCTGCTGCCGTTGGAGGGGAAGATGGTGTGGACCACGTACTCCTCTTTGGCGCGGTAAGGGTTAATGGGCAACATCTGCAGCCCAGGGCCACGGATTTCCAGGATGGAGTTATCCTTCTTGGTCCCGGACTCCATATAGTCGTCCTTTTTCCGGCTGCCCCGATTGTAGGCCCGGTCCCGGGTCAGCAGCTCCCCGGCCCGGTGCACATACCAGCAGATGGACCCCAGGACCAGGAAGAGGAAGACGAGGGCCACGGCCCCGCCGATGATGCCCGCCAGGGGCAGGCCCACCATGGGGTCAGCGTTCTGCTCCTGGTTGAGCGTGGTGGTGGGGCCGTAGCTGTCTGCCGTCTCGGCCTTGGCGCACACCGGCGTCTCGTCGGCCACGTAGGCGTTGCCGGTCTCCATGGTGACCAGGCAGATGACATAGGTGGACTTGGGCTCCAGCGCCGTCAGCAGATACTCTGTCTTGTCCCCCTGCACCAGGGTCTCCGTGATGGAGCCCACGGCGGGACTGTGGCCCAGGCGTAGCCAGCTGAGCCGGAAGGAGGAGGCGGGGAGCGTGGCCTTCCACGTGATGCGGATGGAGTCCGCCGTCAGAGGCTTCACGTGGATGACCAGGGTCTTGGCACCCTCACCCGTGGCCACGGGGTAGTCAAGGTTGGAGTCGGGGAGGCGCAGCCCTGGCCTCTTGGCCTTGAGGGTGAAGAGGGAGCCCTGGGGTGTGGTGGCCGAGGCGCGGTCACTGGCCGTGGTCTTGGCAGCCGCGTTGGCCGCGCCTCCCTGGGGCCCTGTCTCGAAGCACTCGTCCATCTCGCTGGTGATGTCCTTGATGGCCATGCCCCGGACCTTCTCGGGGCCCTGGCACATGAGGCCCCGCACGTTGACCACGGCCGCCCGCGCCTTCACCCAGTCCCGCAGCCACAGGAGGTTGCAGCCACAGAACCAGGGGTTGTTCCGCAGCAGCAGCTGGGCCAGGCTCTCCAGGTCGTCGAAGAGGCCACGGGGCAGCGTGGTGAGGTTGTTGTTGGACAGGTCCAGGCGCTCGAGTTGGTGCATCTTGGCCAGAGCGTTGGAGGGGATGTGGCTGATGGCGTTGTCCTGGAGGTACAGCTTCTGCAGGTGCGCGCTGGGCAGGCTGAGCGGCGGGGCGGCCAGGGAGTTGCGCACCAGCGACAGCTCGGTGAGGTTCTGCAGGCGGCTGAACGTGTCGTCGGCGATGCGCTGGTTGGCCAGCAGGTTGCCGTCGAGCACCAGGCGCCGGAGGCTGTGGAGGCCCTTGAAGGCGTGCAGCGGGATGGTGGAGATCCGGTTGTCGTCCAGCCGCAGCTCCTCCAGCGTGCGGGGCAGCCCCGAGGGGATGCTGCTCAGGTGGTTCCGGCTCAGGAACAGCAGCTTGAGCCGCTTGCTGTCGGCGAAGGCGTCCTCCTCGATGCTGACGGTGGACACGGAGTTGTCGTCCAGGTGCAGCTTCTCCAGCAGCGGGAGGCGGGCCAGCGAGTCCCGGGCGATGGCGCGCACGTTGTTGTCCTGGAGGTGCAGCTCCCGCAGCGAGCGCGGCAGGTTGATGGGGAACTCGTCCAGGTCGTTCTCGTACAGGTAGATGACCTGCACGCTGACCTTGGTCTTGAGGTCCTGGGGGATGCCGGCGTTGTTGATCTGGTTGTTCTGCAGGTAGAGGGTGGTGGCGTCATCGGGGATGTCGCTGGGGATGGAGGTGAGGCCCCGGTCGTTGCAGTAGATGAAGCCGCTGTCGCAGCGGCACACGGAGGGGCAGGTGGTGCTGTCGATGACCTCCGTCAGGAAGGCGATGAGCCCGTAGCAGAGGAAAAGCCAGTCCCGCAGGTCCATGGTGGCCGTGGTCATCACGACGGTGGCCGTGACGGTGGCAGTGGGTGTGGTGGTGGCGGTGGCGGTGGGTGGTGCCACCACCATGGTGGATGGCTGGAGGCGCCGGGCCCCGCCTGATCTGCCTCAACACCTGCAGGGAGCACAAGACACACACGGTGAAGGTGAGTCTCGGCACCCACCCGCCTGCTGCCGCGGGGGTCGCCACGGGACAGAGGTCAAGCCTCCAAGCGCTCGCCCTGCGACCCCTCCTGGGCCAGCCTCACATCCCGGGTGATCCCTCGGGCCGGGGTCAGACACTCACGACATCTGGCCAACGTGAAATCCCATCGGGGGCAAAGATGTCTGTGAATTACGCGGCCGCAGCCTGGGTCCGCCCAGGCGGTGATGTCCAGCCGCGGGTGAGATTAATTTAGTGAGAGCCGCTCCGCAGTGTCTGTTTCTTCTTTGGAGACTTCACACTAAGCCAGTCTTTATGGCTAATGCTAAAAGTGGCTGGTCAATGTTGATGGGATGGATTTAAGGTGTGTTTTATGGATCTCGAGCCTGCATTTCTCACTGGAACGGAAACTCGCATCCCTGTCTGGCTCGTTCCCAGGGTCTGAGGGAAACGCTCGTTTCCGTGAGGCCCGTGAGCGCACAAGGAGGGGGGTGTCAGTGGAATCCACGGAAAAGAGGCCGCCGGATCGCCACTGGTGAGCAGTGGAGAGCAAGGAGCTTCATTGTCTGGTTTTAAAACATGTCCTACTTGTCACCCACGGGTTTTACAGACAGAAGAACGAGGTGTCAGCGAGATCACTTTCTTGTGTATTTACGGGAAACCCTTTTTATCCGAGGTGCCCTCCCTAGCTCTTCGTCCCGTGTTGTATGGGAAATCAGTCCTCACCTTACCCCCTTCCCCAGTCACAAAACTTGCAGCTATTTGGAAAAGAAAAATTTTTTATCTGTTTTCTTGCATTTGAAGAAATGACAGAAAGAAAAGGGGGGAGGGGTCCACGCCGAGGGAATCAGCAGCAAGGTATAATTTCGGTTTTCACAAATGGAAAAATTGCAGCCTAGATTTTTCTCCTATTGTTTCGCTGTTCATAGTGGTAAAAAATCAATTAAAGAGAAATGATCTTTCATTTCTCAGTTGGGGAGGTGTCTTCATGCGCCGGCAGAGGTCTGCCACATAACTCTAGGCTCATGAAGGCTTTTCAGTGGTGGGACGCAGTCATGGCCTCCTGCATCTGAGCCGAGGTCCCAGCCTGAATCCAGCCCAGCCCAGCGTTCAGAGCAGAATCAGGACCTGGTCACCAAACGAGTCAGAGGGGACCTCACTCTCATGCCCTGGGGACTGAATGTCTCCATTTCTCAACCAGTGTCAAACCTTCTCCCTTGTCTGTCCCTCTCTATCCCGGAACCGCTCCCCTCCATCTAGCAAACTGCTCTTCATATAACCCCGCCTCCCCTAGGTCTCGCACCCACCCACCCATCCATCCATCCTCCTACTTGTCTGTCTAGCGGTCCAGAAGATCTTTATGGAGCACCCCGACACCTGGACATGCCCGCCTTCAGAGGACAGGGATATAAACCCAGGCCCCGGGGGACCAACCAGCCGGGTCTCACCCAACCCCCTTTACAGATGCATACTCAGGAGGGTTGTGGAGCCTGGATGTCCCATCTTAAGATGCTTAGGAGCAAAGTCGCAGGGCTGGAGCAGGTGTGGGGGACAGGAAGGCCTAAGCCTGCTCAAAGGCTACCTTGCCTCGCTCTCAGAGGTCAAGTCTGAGTCCCTCTGTCCAGGGCCCCAGCATCTGGCCAGAGGACACACACCTTCTTTGACCTGTCAGCTGCTGAGACCTGGCACATGGGATGTGGGTGGCCCCATCCCACCGGTGCCCTGAGCAGGGTGGGGCAGCCTTGCTAAGGCCAAAGCCAAGGCCGGCCACCACATTCTCTGGCACAGACATCAGTTCCCGGTGCCCGCTCAGCTCATGACCACAGCCCTCAGCTTTCAGAAGCCCTGGCATCATAATAGAGTCTAAATTGCACCTTTCAGAGATGCCTGATGGATAACCAAGAAGCAGTTGGGAGGCAGGGACCCAAGGCCTTTCCCTTCCCCTGTCTGCAGGCCTCATCCATCTTGGCTCGAGCCTGCCCTTGCCACCCCTTCCCCAAGGCTGCAGCGAGAGGCAGGGCCAGGGGGGGTAGGGAGGAAGAGAGCATGCCTTCCTGAAGCAGCCGTTAATGCCCCGTGCCAGGTGGCCTTTTTATTCCTTTGCTGTGTGTTTGATGGTTTATGTGGCCATCAAATTAAACCCAGTAGATCGCCTGTCTTCCACGGGGTCACTTGCTGGGCGGATTCCACAGACTTCAGCCTGATGGGAGTTATGACCCGCCGGCACCATGATGGACAGCAGGATCCTTCCCTGGGGGCCAGGGAAGGGAGAAGGGAGGCGGCTCAGGCTGGACGGATCCAGACCCCCATTCACCAAGGGGGGACCCGGGCCATCATTCTTGGCGCTCTCCCTCAGCCACTAGCTCCTGCCATCTTCTAGGACAGAGAAACCTGGCTTCACGTCCTGCCTGTGCCACCTCCAGGCTCCCGACAGGGGCTCTTTGCTGACTGCTGTGATGCTGGGTCCCCTCCACCTTCCCCTGTGCTTCTTCAGCCCCATGCCCCAGGCTACGGTGGAAACCCTGGTCCTATAGCTGGGCCTCCTGTTGTGACCCTGGGATGCTCCAGCCTCTCTCTCCTGGGGGGCTGTCCAGGCCCAGGGAGGGGGTGTGAGTGGCCGGAGCCCACAGCTTAGCTCTCGCCTCGGTCCCCTTGGCACTCTGAGATGCAAACCACCCCCCCCCCCCAAGTTCCTACAAGCCCTGACCTCCCTTGTGCTGCCCCTGGGCCTTTGCTCCGCGCTGTTCCTGATCCTCGGACACCAACACACCCTCCCCGGCTCCTGCCTTGCCAGCTTCTGCTCCTCCGGGACCTCAGCTTAGAGTCCCCTCTGGGAAGCTTTCCCTGACCTGCTGCAAAGCCGGCCCCATGCGGGCTTTGCTCACCACCGCTTCACTGGTGGGAGACGTTTATCTGCTTGCTGGATGGCAGTGCGTCCCTGTTGGAGACCCCCAGCCTGGTGTCTTCCCCACATCCCAAAAAGCTGGGGCTGCCAGAGGCCCAGGGACTTCTGGGGCTCCCCTTGGGAGGTGGGAGGTTGGAGGGACAGCAACACACAGGGGGCGGCTGCAGGACTCGAGGCCCAGCATAGACCCTGGCATGCTGGCTGGGAGCTGGCGGCTGCTGCTGCTGCAGGCTCCCGGGGCATAGTGAGCCATGAGCACCCCATGGGGCCCGAGCATGTTTCTGGAAGGAGCTGGAGGTCCCAGGCAGCAGAGGGAAGGTAGGGCAGGCAGTGAAGGCAGCTTGCATGGGGGTGCCCTGATGCTGGGCCCCCCGAAGTGCTGGGCACGGTCTCAGCCCCCCCACTTTGGGAATCCGAGAATTCCAGGTGGTGCTCAGCCCAAGAAGGGGGCACGTGAACTAGAAGCAGGGAGGGGACAACACAGCTAGGTTTGAATCCTGCCTCACCAGTCCCTGACCGTGTGACCGGCAGCGACCCATCTCTGGGCCTCAGCTTCCTCGCCTGCAACATCCTGCTGGGAGGACACCGCAGGGGGTTGTGCAAAGCGCCTAGCACAGGACCAAGTGGTTTTAGAAAGAAGAGCTGCTTCACCCTGTCCCGGGGAGGGACCCCGAGGTGTTCCTATGACCCTCTCCGGGCAACTGCCCACCTGTCTTGGCAGGGCTCCCCAAACAGCTGAGCCAGAGAGCCCCTCGCCCTCTCCTTTCCTGTGCCCCTCCTCCCAGGTCCTTCCCAGAAGAGCAGGGCCCGAGGCAGGGGCAGGGTATGTAGGGCAGGCTGGGGACAGAAGCAGTTCCTCAGCCCAGAGGGGATAAGGCAGGAGACCCTGGTCCCAAAAGGAGCTTCACCAAGACAAGTTCATTCCATACCCATGATGACTCCTAAATTAAACCTTTGTTTAAATTAATGAGGGGTCCCCGCTTTCTTCCCCACCAGCCAGCACTACCCCTCCGGCTTAACTCTAAGCAATACCATAGGAGGAGGGCCACAAGGTGGGGGGCTGGAAGAGCTCCCCACCCCACCTCTCCCCTCCCCGCCCCCGACCTCCAGGAAGTCCCCCATCCCCACCCCTGTAAGGCCAGTAGCCCAGGGGGCCCGCCTGGGCTCAGTCCAGCATCTCCATCTACCTGAGGGGGGCCTTGGGTCTCAGGCGTTCCTCTGTAAGATGGGACTATTAGTGATCCACCTGTCCTGGGTCTTGGGAGGATAAGCGATGGCTGTTTTCAGGCCTGAGCAGAGGGACTGCAGAGTGCCCTGCACAACAGGGGACCATGCCCGTCTTAGCGGTAGGCAGCGCTCCCGGGCAGATCCAGATGGGAACTGCGAGCTGGAACTTCTGGGGAGCCAGCCTTTTCCAAGCCCTTGTTCAGGCCCAGGCCAGTCTAAGCCCATGTATCGAAGGCATCGCCTTCGGGCAGGGGGTCGTCTGCCATGACCCTCCAGGGCCTTGAGAGTTCAGGGCCACGGCCAGAGAAGGTGACCGTGGGGAAGGAGGCCCTTCAGAGTTTCGGGACTGCCCCAGTTCTCTCATCCACAGGTGCCATTGAGAACTTGTAGAAAAAGGGGGAGTGGAGTGGGGTGGGGGCCATGGGGTGGTGGTAGGGGATTCTTTTAAGACCTAAAGTTAATTATTTTTCTAATTTCATGCTGTATGCATTATGCATCAGCTGTTATCACTGGTGGTAATTGCAGACAGGTATGCAAATCCACTAAAAATGTACCTCGAGTTCACCTCCCCGCGTAGGCCGTCTGGGCGGTGCCAGGAGGCGGCATGTCCTGAACTTCAGAGAGTGCAAATCCCTTTAAAAAACAAGACTTTAAAACTGTGTCTTAGGAGGTTAATTATATTGACAACAGTGTTCGATATTAAACTATTCAGGGCCGGGAGGGGGTGGGGGGATGAAAGGAGACACGTGTAATTTTGTTTCTCCCTCTCTCCCCACATTATTTAATAAGATATCCCTATTCCTGATATTTCTGTCTGCGCGCATTTTTAGTCGGGCTGCCTAGATGAAGGCTTCATTCCTTTGGGGAAGGTAAAAGGAAAGGGCAGGGGAGTTTCAGAAGCTAGAAGAGGGGCTTGATGTCTTTTCTCGGGGGCGGGGAACAGAAGGAAGGAAGAGAAGGGGCAGTGGGGAGGGGACCCTGGGGTTTGTAGGGTCAGTGCTGCTGGCCTTCCCAGCAGTCTGCAGGATCCAGGCAGCCAGGGGCCAAGAGAGAGGAGCAGGGTGACCAGGAAAGACTAGGTATAGTGATGTTTATTGATCATGAAACAGAGGCTGGGAGCTGGCTGGCGGTGCTCTCCCCTGACCCCGGGAGCTGTGTGGCATCTCCCACACGCAGGCCCTGCTCCTGGAGAGATCCCCTTCTTTATTTATCCTGAGTTGATTGTCCAAACATTCCCACCAGAATGTAAATTCCTTTAAAGCAAGATATGTTCTGTCCCATTCACCAGCTTAGCCCAGAGCCTGGCAGGGGAGTGTTCATAAGCATCTGGTGAATGAATGAATGAGTCAGTGAGTGAGTGAATGAGTGAACGAAGACGCCAAAAGGAAGGCCGCCACAATCTGAAACCTAGAAACAGGCAGTGGGAGAGAAGAGGGAGGCTGGCTCCACTTCGGCCCCAGCCCTGGAGGGGATAACCACCCAGGCACCCTCGGCCCAGCAGCCCAGAGAGGAAGAGGGACTGGCTGGTCTGAACTGTGCCACCGCGGTGGAGGAGCCGGACACAGACCCAGGCCTTGGGCTCGCTGTGCAGTGCTCTTCCCTGCGCTCTCAGCTGCCCAGGGGGCCCTGCTCAGCCCCAGAGGGAGAAACCTGGGGAAGACGTCTGGCTGCCTGCACCCCCCGCCCCCGCCCCATTCATCTCTGGTAGGGGGAGGCTGGCCTGGCATCGCCTGACCATAGCTCTACCTTCAGGTCAGCCTCACGTTCTGAGAGGCCCCTTCCCTCCCACCGCACAGAGACGCACAAGGGTGGGCTCCCCCAACCAGAATTCTGGAGTCGGGGAGTCACAGGACCTTGGAGATTGTCTGCCTTTCCCAGGGGAGGAAAAACTGAGGCCCAGAGAGCAGAAGGGATTGGTCCAGCAGCCGCGGACACTCCTCCCCCGCGCTCACCTTCTCTGACCGTGGCCCTGAACTCTCAAACCCTTTCGCGAGGACTGGCACAGGGAGGGTGATGGTGCACAGTGTCCAACTCACACAGGGGTTCGTGGGGGCTGCCCTCCCCCAACAAGCAGGTCTGCAGACCCCTCCAGCCAGATGGGGGGGGCCCCATTAGTGGCAATAGCTGTCCAGGGAGCGCCCGTGGCAGCCTGGGCCCTCCAGGACCTCCCCGCCTCTCCACCTGGCCTATGTACCCAGTGCACAAAGTGGGGGAGCGCATTCGGGGAGGGTAAGGGATGTGCCCAGGGTCACACTGCTCGTAACAGGAGGGACAGGGCACCAACCCATGTCTGCCTGGCCCCCCAGTTTGGTTCTCTTTGCTTTTCTGCCTCAGGATGAAAGGACGCTTCACAGCTCACCATAGGCAGAGCCCCGCACTGAGCAGACTCTCCATAAATATGAGGGGTGCAGGCCTGAAGAGCAGCTATGGGCCCCAGGAATTGCACCCCAACCCCTCCTCGGGGCTGCGAGGTGAGCAGGGGCAAGTGATGGGACAGTGGGAGAGCCCGTGGTAGGGATGAGGGAGGGGAGGCCAGGTGGACAGGGCCAAGCGCAGACTCCCTGAGATGGTGATGCCCGTCGGCCCCACTGCCGGGCTGGCGCGCCTTCATAATAAATAACAGCAAATAGCCGATCCGCAGGGCATCCTTCACGCCGGTGGCTAATAACACGGCTATTAATGCCCCCGCAGACGGCGTGTGCGTCGCGCAGCGCTGACGAATGTCCGGGCCCTGGCGCAGTCATAAATCAGCCCCTCTCCTGGGGAAGCGTGCAGAGAAGTGTCATTTTCCATCTTGGTAATGAATTGGGGCTTCCCTGCCCTGCCCTGGGCGCCGCTGCTGGAAGTGGCCTGGAATTTGTGTTTAGGGAGGCACGAGCCTTCCCTCCGGGCCTCTGGGGAGCCCGGAAGATTGGGGCCACCCCCCTACCCCCAGGCAGGACCTAGCTCTCCACCTGCCCCGCCCTGGCCGTTCGCTGCTCGAGTGAGGATGAGGGGCGCTCGGGCCTGCTGTGTGCCCATCCCGGGGCCCCCAGGAAGCCACTCTCCCCAATAGCAGGGGTGGACTGGAAGCCAGAGCAGTGATGCCTGAGGACCAGTGGGCGCGAGGTCTTGGGTGGTGGCTTTGGCCCGACCCCACCCTGAGTCCTCCCAGCCAAGTGGGAGGGCAGCAGGTGCCCTGGCCAGTGTCACCGAAGGTCCTGCCTCCCCCAAGGCCTCACAACTGCCCGCTTTGGGCAGAACTCAGAGGGGCTCAAAGTAAGACACGAACCCCATCCCCCCACCCCCCCATCCCCACTCTGGAGCAGTTTACTCCAGAAAAGCCTTGTACCCACCCACCCGGGGGTACAGCATGCCGCCAGGTAGCAGAGACCCCTCCCCTGGCGAGCGGAAACTGCTGGTCGCCCGATGGTCTGTATGGGGCTGTGGCGCAGAGCTGCAGACCCAGGGAGCTCTGATGCCCCAGTGCAACCCAGCTGGAAAGAGAGCAGGGCCCAGCCGGCTCAGGCACGAGGAGCCACTGGGCCTTCCCAGGCCACCCGCAGCCCCTCTGCAGCCTTACCTCCTGAGCTGCAGCCCCGGAGCCTGCTGGGCCTGGCTGGGATCTCTGTTCTGGATGCTTCCCGTTGAGATGGGCCTGGACACACTCATATGTCGACCCTGCGGCCCTGGCACTCAGGTGCAGGCCGCAGGGCTGGGGTGCTGCGTGGAGCTAGGGGCGCCCCGGGGAGCGGAGAGGACGCCCCGTGCTCTGCTCTGCGGGGCCCCTCACGCTCAGACGTGGTCGTGGGCCTGGGGTAGCACGCTCTGTCCCCTGGGCTTCAGGCGCCGCTGGCCTCTCCCCCCGGAGTGAGGGGCGTGCATGGGGGGCCTGCCGAGGCACCCCCTGCAGCCCCGGGACTCCCGTGCGCAGCCCGAGGGGGTTCTGGGCCCCTGCTCCCCAGGCATGCCCTAGAGCCCAGCGTCCATCCTGCCGAGGTGGCTTCTCGCTGTCCTCTTTCAACTTTTGCCCTTTTGTCTGTTGGCCTCGCCGCCTCCTCCGAAAGGCTTCCGTGTGGCTTTTACCCCCTTTTCTTCACCAAGTTTTTTTTTTTTTTTTTTTTTAATCCCTTTAAGTCACTTGGCAGAATGGGCTCCGGTGCCGAGAGCGTTCTTGCGTGACAGAGCTGGGAGGGAGCCACTCTCCAAAGACTCGGTATTCCTGCCACTCAGGCTGCGTCCCCGGGGGGCAGGCGGGGGTCCATTACCCCGCTGAGGAGTTCAGATGTTCACCGCGGGGCTGGAGCTGCGGACACGCGCCGCTGAGCCGTCAGGCCCCGCATGCCTCTCTTTGGAAGGATGTTGGGGGGGCGCTCAGCCCTGCTTGGCTTCTCCTGTTCGCCGGCCGAGGTTTCCTTGCTGGGGAGGCCGGGGGAGGGGCGAGTTATTCCTGCTTCAGCCCCTGGTCTTGTCTGTCCAAAAAGGAGTCCTGCTCACCCACTCCCTGCCTCCTCAACCTGCCAAGAAACAATACACGCGATTAAGCCCGGGGAAATCAGGAGCCACGCGGGGGCGGGCAGCCCGGGCCACGGCCCCCTCTCCTCCCATCCCCCTGGACCCCGCATTCTTGAACACCGCTCTCCAGTGAGCCGGGAGGGGGCGGGGAGGACTCCCCATCATCTCCCTGCGCGTCTCAAATCCAGACAACAAACGGGGCCGCACAGAGCACCCTCCTCAAAGCTCCCCGGTTTCCTTTTGCTGGGGGCGGAGGCTCCGGAAAGAGAAGCGAAGTTCTGAGGGTTCCTGGCCGTGCAGGGGCTGCCTGCCCGGCCCAACACTGGCTCCGCTTCCCCCCAGCACCTGCTCCTCTCGCAAAATGTCATTCAAAGGATCCAACTGGGCCACTGCGGCCTCGGCTTCCAGAAGCAGCACTGCCTTTCCTCGCTGTGGGAAGCAGGAGCAGCAGGGAAGCGGGGAAGTTGGGTCTCAGAGTCCCCGGCCTCCCTCCTGCAGCCGCCCCACTTCCTAGGCCCGGGGTCAGGGCTCCACGCCCCCCAGTGCCCTCGAAGGCCATCCTCCCCTTCCACAGAGACCTGGGGGGTAGGGCTGGCCGGTCCTCAGAATCCAAAACAAAACCGAGCCCTCCGGATTGCCTCTCATTAGCGTGGCATGCCGAAGCCCTGCGGTGCCCCGGTGTCCGTATTCCCCCTGCAGGAGCCCCTCTTTGGAAAAGGGCTTTTATTACACATCTGAGAGTGTTAGCTCTGGTTTGAAATCGGATCCAGATGGGCTCAGCTGCATCTGGGCACTCGCCTTTGTCGGGCCGAAGGTGGCTGATTTGAGAAACGCTTGTTGTCTGGGACTGTTACAAATAAAAACAGGGATCTTTAGGGGTGCATGTTTTCATAAGCCCAGAGCCCGGACTGGGGCCAAGTGCACTGCCCTCCTGGACGCCCGGCCTGGTGGGGTGCACAGGGGACGAGGGGTAGGGTGCAGGCAGAGGCTGATGGGGTGACCAGGCTGACTGGGTACATGGGGGAGTCTTGGGACATGCCTCCCCAGGAGGAAGGGGTTCCAAGAAGCAGACAGCCCCATGGGGACTGCTGCTAGCCGAGGTGTGAGCCAGGACACAGGGTGCGGCTCCTCCAAGGATGGGGGGCTGCTGGGCAGGAGGGGAGGTCAGGACCGTCCCTGCATGAGGGGTGAGTACCAGGCTATGGCATGGGTTCTTACTGCTATCACCCCCGCGTGATTTCATCCAATTAGAAAGCGTAATTTCTCTGTGAAAGGGAAAGATGGAAACAGTCTAGTGAGGTCATCTGCCTCCCTGGCCAGGCAGGGTGGGGAAACTGTTTTGTAGCACCGCGGGTGGGAGCGGAGGGGGTAGGGCCCCCGTGTTTCGGGAGGATGGTGGCCGTGTCCTCAGAGCCCAGAGGCTCCAGCCGGCCAGGGCTGCTGATCCCCCACGACAGAAAGAAACTGCCAAAGAACTGCTAAGAACCGCTTTTGAAGTTATGAATCGAGGAGGGCGGCTTTACCCCCGCCAGCACTGGGCCCTTTTCCCAGTCCTCAGGATAAAGGTGAAGCTCCTGGGCAGCTTCTGGAGCCCCTGCGGGTCCATCGGGAGTCCCCGGAGTGCCCAAGCAGGGCTTGCTCCAGGCCTTTCCCCCACACCGTCCCCACTCCTGCAAGAGTCCTCCCAGCATCACCCTCCACTCCTGCATTGGGCCGCCCTCCTCCTTGGGGGGCCGTGGTCCCATAAACCCACAGTGTCCTGAAAGGAGCGATCTCCCTGCCCCCAGGAAGGGGCTACCTCTGCTTCTCCAAGTCAGATCCCCCAGGACCTGGCTCAGGGCCTTGTACACAGTAGAGGCTTCACAGATGCACCCTGTGACCTCCCCACTCTCCTTTCTCATTTAGAAAAGTGGGGTCTGAGCAAGGCCCCTAGTGGGGCCGTCCGACTTTGTCCGTCTTAGCCTGGCTGGCTGTGCCTGGGAGGGGAGAGCTCCTCCCGTGCGTGGGTGCGTAGTGGCAACTGCTGGAAGCCACCCTTGCTCCCCGACCCAAACAGGCTCAGGAATAAATACGTCAATGTGACGTCCTGCAAATATCTCCCGTCCCCCGTGGGTGCACGAGGGGATCGAGAAGCCCAGGCCGTGCAGTGAGTGCGGCGTGTGGACCTTCTAGCGGTCGGATGGAGCGAGGACAAAATGAATCTGTGCTGTCCAAGGGTTCTGTCCCAGGATCCCGCTTCGGCGCCAGGCCCCTGTGGCCAGCTCATAGGTACGCCCCCTACAGGACGTTCTGTGCCCGCCGCCCCTTGCTTCGGCTTTCCCTGCTCCGACAGGCTCCAGGTCTCAACTCTGCCAAACGGACCATTTTTTGGGTCAACATAATAAAAGCTTGCATTCGTAAGTACTTGAGATGCTTACAGTCTTACTTTTTGTTATACGTAATAGCATCATAACTGTATTAAAGGAAATTTGAGAGGGGGAGAGGAAGCCAAGTGCACTATCCCACATGTCTGTGCCACTCCACTTTGGCCGGATCTGCCCGCACAGAGACACTGTCTGCAGGGGGACAAACTGCCTTCGCCTTTCCCAGGTCATTTCTGCTTTGCCATCTCCCTTGAGCATGGGGACAGCCCAGTACAGCTGGCAGGGCAGGGAGGACCATGACACGGAGAAGGGGGCGCTTATGCAAGGTCGCACAACCCATATGACAGCCACGGCCTTGACCTCGGGGCCAGTCCCCCTCTCTGCGTGACACGGAGTCTCGGTGCAACAGAAACATGCCACCAACCAAACCCACGGTGGCCCCTGGGCCCCCTGCCCTGAGGGAACTTGGGTTTTCCTGAGGCCCTCTCATGCAATCATCCATCCATCCCTCCGTCCATCCTTCCCTCTCTCCCTCCATCCAGCAGACATGTACTGCGTCCAGTCCTGCTCCTGGCACCATGCAAGATGTGGGATCCAGAGAGGAGCCCCTGTCCCCCAGGAGCCTGAAGTCCAGTGGGGAGGCCATTGGTTTTCAGAGGGCCACAGTGTGAGATCCACACAGGGCCCTATGGGAGCAAAAAGCCCACCTTGCCCAGCCTGGGAGGGTGCATCACTGGGAGCCTCATGGGGAAGGCAACACCGTGCTGTGGTTCTGGGGTTCCCCTGACTCCCATGTCGTGATAGTCACATGTGAACTCGGGCAAGCTAGAGAGGAGGCAGGTGTGGCTGGGTCTCCCCCAACCACCTACCTGTCCTGTCCATCTTCTAGGGCCTGACCCTACCTTTGGACTTCAGGGCTCCCCCCACTACCTCTGGCCCTGAAGTGGAAACACTCTCTGGCTTTGCAGTCCCCCGCTGCCCTGAGGATCAGTTCTCACTGACATTAATTCCTGTATCAGCAATTAGCCCTCCTGCTTCATTTCAACCTATGGCTCTTAGGGATGGATTATTATGTGTGTATCATTAATCAGATGCCTGGTACGTGCTGCTGGAAACCCAGGTGGGCTTTATGGCTGGTAACTTAGGTCGAGTGGTATTTTAAACGAACAACATGCCTGCTCCCCCCTTCCCGGGCAGAGCTGCCCTGTGACACAGAGGGCAGAGTTTAGATCATCGCAAGCAGGTCAAAGCTGGCGCAAGCAAGGAGACCCGGGGTTTCTTTTATTTGGGACTTCCAGGCTGAGGTCAGCATCTGTATCCGACCTGTATAGATGAAACGGCTCTTTGTGACTCAAACCCAGAGTTTGTTCTGTGGCTGCTGACTTCCTCCCACCAGGACGGCCATCCACGGGGCCTGTTGCTCTTCCCCCACAGTGACTGCAGTGTGTGGGTCACTCCTCTCTTGTGGCCGCATGGACCTGGGAGCTGTCACAGCCGTGTCCCTCCCTCCGGGGGCAGTGGGTGGTGGGCTGGGGCCACAGGGCAGAGAGAACTTTTCCACTTGGGTGTATGGACTGTTCCCATAACAGAGACTTCACAGTAGGTGTGGGGCAGGAAGGGCACTTCAGGGAGAGGGAACAGCATATGCAAAGGCTCAGAGTGGGAGGGCTGGGTGGTGGGAAGGCTGGTGTCTCAAAGCTCTGAGTCAGTGGAGGGC